TACATTTCATGGATGCTGCATCAGCTACCTATTGCTGTGAAACAACGACTCCCAAATTTAGGGACTTAAAATAATACATATACATAATCTCACCATTTCTGTGGGGCAGGAGTCAGAGTGCACCTTAGCTCAGGGTCTCTCACAAGGCTGCAATCAAAATGTGAGTTGAGGCTGCAGTCTCATCTGAAGGCTCAAATAAGGAACCTTTCTCTTCCAAGCTTACTCATGTGATCATTCACAGAATTGTTTCTGAGGGTTGTTGAACTAAGAAGCTCAGTTCTTTGCCATGTGGGCCTTTCCAAAGGTGAGATCACAAAATCAGAGTTGTTTCATCAAGGCAACCACGTGAGAAGAGTCAGAGAGAGCCTGAGCAAGACAGTAGTCACTGTGTTTGCATCCTGGTCTTGGAAGTGACACCTGTCACTTCTGCTGTATTTTGTTTATTAACAGCGAGTTACTAAGTCCAGCCCACACCCAAGGGCAGGGGACAACATGAAGATGTGATGTCAGGAGGCAGGAATGGTTGGGAGCTGTGTCAGAAGCTGTCTCCCACACATGGCCTTGCAGTGTCTACACCGGAGCTCAAGTGCATTGTGCAGGCCAAAAAGCGGCACCTTCACACGGTGCTACGTGATCACTCACAACTTGTCAACCACCATATTTTAGCTGATTGTTATGGAAACATTCCAAACCTGAAAAAGGGAAAAATGATGATTTCTGGGATCTGTGATATTCTGCTAGAATGCAAAAAAGTCTGATCGATCCCATTCTGAAGCTCTTGAGCAGTGTGACAAATATTTATCTAATTATTCACAATTGGTTAAAATAAAGAGATTTATAGCCCTGTGAGATTAGCCTGCAGGATTGATAGCTTATGACTTTTATTGCCTAGTAAACAAGTTAACTCCAAATTTGGCATTTGTATGGCTTTGTAGAGGTTTGCTTTAACTTAGCATCTCATTTCTGCATTTCTTTCCCAACTGACCTTAAAAATCCAAGTTACCAGCCGGGTGCGGTGGCTCACGCTTGTAATCCCAGCACTTTGGGAGGCCGAGGCGGGTGGGTCATGAGGTCAGGAGATTGAGACCATCCTGGCTAACACGGTGAAACCCTGTCTCTACTAAAAATACAAAAAATTAGCCAGGCGTGGTGGCGGGTGCCTGTAGTCCCAGCTACTTGGGAGGCTGAGGCAGGAGAACAGTGTGAACCTGGGAGGTGGAGCTTGCAGTGAGCCGAGATCGCACCACCGCACTCCAGCCTGGGTGACAGAGCGAGACTCCATCTCGAAATAAATAAATAAATAAATAAACCCCAGTTACCAAATGCTTGTGGAGCCAGATCATTTCTCTTTTTGCTGGTTCCCTTATTAATGAGTTAAATAAAGCTTTGGAACATGGTAACAGATGATTTTGCCTGAGAGTTGAGCTTTTGCATGCTCTAGGAGTAACCAAGATGTACACAGGGAATTCAGCAAAGTGCTGAATAGACACTGGGTTCCTGGCCTTATCTTGACTGGCTGACCCACCTTCACACACTTACGGGGCACAATGTCTGTGGGGATAGCAAGGCCCCAGAGGATTTAAGAACTGCCCTAAGGGTGTGTCTTCAAGCCTTTTGTGAATTTATACTTATGCCATCTCATGGGGGACTGCGTCTCTTTCCATGGCTCAGCAACAGGGCTTTGAAGAGTAAGCCCCGAAACCAAGTTCTGGGTATGAGGGTTTCCTGGCTGGTGAAGCTGATGAACCCACACTGGGGAACACAGACTGCCAGGCTGCTGCTGTATAGGAGATGGGAACAGGAAGAGGGAGATGCAGGGAGGGGCCTGGCCCAGGGCTGTGGAGGAGGAGGGGTTCTTTTCCCCCGAGTGTGGCCAAGCACCTGCAAGCTTCCTGGGAGTGGGCCTCTCTGCAGGGGCTTTGCCTTGGCTTCCAGCCACCTCCATTTGGTTCTCTAGCACACAGGCCTGGAGCGTGGAGCTCACTCAAGTCCAGAGAGCTCAGGTTTCTAAGTGGACAGATATCCCACAGGATGTGCTTTGGGAAACTGAGAAAAGGCAGCCCTGATACTTCCATCCACACACTCAAGTGAAACTCAGTGACTTCTTTGGTGTTGATACAGAACCAGAGGTGTGATTTTCACCTGCACTTCACTCATCCTATAACCTTTGGGTTTGCTCCTGGGAAAACAGAAAAGGCACAGTCCCATCCCCAAGGAGCGCATACAGAGGACGAGGAGACAAGCAAGGATTCCTGGCATGTGAACAGCTGGTAAGAAGGAAAAAGGAGATGTGGCGAGGCTTCAGGGAAGCCTGGGGCTGGAGCCCACAAGAAGTGTCCTCTGGTCCTGGCAAACCCCAGGCTAGCTGGGTTGATATCGCCCCAGAAAGCAGGGGAACCTCACAGGGCCATCCCTTCAGGCTCAGCCTGACAAGAAGCCGACAGAAAGCCTGTCATCTGGATGCAGGATGCAGAGCGGTCTTCTCTGTGAGCACTAGCTCTCATCTGCTTTTAAGAGTTGTGGGGAAGAAAACGAGGCAAGTAACCTTTTCCGAGGAAGTATTTTTAAGATATTAACATGTTTTCCAACAGCAATTTTTTTGAAGACTCAGTCTAATTCATATTCGTGTGTAGCTTCTAAAATAACCTATATTTGCACAAACTGTTTTCTTGGTAAGATTTTCAAACCATTCTCAAGGAAGATGCATTCTGTGGCAATGGGAGGCCAATAGAACTGAAAGGACTTGATCTAAATGGAAAAAAATACCCACACAAAATCTTCAGATAAAAAAAAAAAAACCCCAATTGGTTAGTAGTGACTGAAAGGCAAACCTGACAACAGACCAGGGAGGTTCAGGCCCAGCAAGGGGACGCAGTTAAGGGTGACCAAGAGCAGGAGGAGGAAGCCGACAGAGGAGGGCACATCAGGACAGTGTTCGCTGAATACTTCCTGGCGTGGTGGTTTCATTCCCTATGCAACCTTGTAACTGCAGGGACACAGAGCATGGGGCATCTACTCTGTCATTCAGATTTATTAGCATTTTTGCTAAAGGTCTTATAAAAGATCTCAGGAATAAAAGCAGCATCCAGTGGCTCTCGCCCATGTTGCCTGTGTCCGATAATAATTAACAGCTACTGCTTAGCAAGGCCAGCCACAGGCTCTACCCTCCGCCATATGCCTCCTGCGATGGTCACTCCGTCTCCTAATTGTAACTGTAAGGACACTAAAGGTTTGTGAGGAGAAATGTTTGCTCGCAGTCACCTGGTTGTTGTATGACAGAGACAAGATGCATACCTAGATGCCTATCTGAATGGTCTAACTTCCGAGTCCTCCTCTTGACTACTTCACCATATGCTCCCTTGTGTGATGACCTCACAACCACAGAAAACGTGAAACATGAAGGACTATGTGACAAAGAAAGTCTGAGGTCCCAATAAACTAATGGCTTAAAAATCATAAGACAACCATCAAGGGATGCTAAGATCACTGGATGAAAATCAGCCAGGGAAGAGAATGTTCACGGGGCTTCAAAGTCTGCCCCATTGCTTACTAGTAAAAGACAAGAATGTAAAAAGTGACTTTATCGGCCAGACGTGGTGGCTCACACCTGTAATCCTAGCACTTTGGAAGGCCGAGGTGGGTGGACTACCTGAGTTCAAGAGATGGAGACCATCCTGGCCAACATGGTGAAACCCCATCTCTACTAAAAATACAAAAATTAGCTGGGCATGGTGGTGGGTGCCTGCAGTCCCAGCTACTCGGGAGGCTGAGGCAGGAGAATCGCTTGAATCCGGTAGGTGGAGGTTGCAGTAAGCCGAGATCTTGCCACTGCACTCCAGCTGGCGACAGAGCGAGACTCCATTTCAAAAAAAAAAAAAAAAGTAACTTTATAAAGAGAGCTCATGAGAAACGACCTTAGCCCAGTGAACAAACTTATCACCATGAGCCATGGGTGCCCACTGGTGTGCTGGAAAGAGAGATGGAGGAAATGTCTATCTCAATCTAAGTATGAGGAAATAATCAGACAAGTCCAGACTGGGTAGCACTCCATAAAACAAGTGGCTCAGACTCTTCAAAGACATCAACATCATGAAAGAGAAAAATGAAAGCAGGGCTTTAGTTCAGATAAAAAGAGACATAACTGAATTCAGTGAGTGATACTTAATTGAACACTAGACAGTGGAAAACAGTTATGAATATTTGGGAGACAATCAGAGGTATCTGGATAGGGACAACATATTTGGATAATATCACTTTATCAATATTATATTTCACAGTGGTAATGGTACTATACTTTTGTAGAAGACAGCTGTGTACTTAGGAGACGATGCCGAAGTGTGTCATGATGTCAACAACTTACTTTCAAATGATTCAGACAAAAAGAATCAAACACACACAAACACATATTTACCATCTGCGTGTGTCTGTTTGTGTATAAACAATTGGTAAATCTGGGTGAAGAATTATGGGTGTTCACTTTTCTACTCCTTCAAGTTTTCTGTCGAATTAAAGCTTATAAAATAAAAAGTAGGCAAGAAGTTATATAAAAATATTTGTTCCAAGAGTGATAAAGCAAAAGAATGGCTATGCTATCAGTCAGATTAAAATTGTATCTTTGGATAAGAAGAGGAAACAGTAAAAGTAAAAATAATTAGTGTGTTAAGATAATGGGACTATTTTTCTTTTGCTTATAATATTTTAAAAATCAATAATGGTTGCAACAGATGACAAATTTTGCACTGGTATAAATCAAGTCACTTGTCAATCACTACAGTTGTTTTTTTTCCTTTTAAAGAATAATGCCTATTATTCCAATCTCAAATTCTAATGCTGTATGAAATACATTTCATGACTCTTTCTCAACGAACCTTACACTTTATCCGGGCTTTAGGTTTGATTTCCAGGGAGTCCACAGAACCACTACCAGCTCTATTGTCAGAGGCAGTGACTGCACCTGCCCCTCTGGCCTGCCACTAAGACCCCACCAACACAGGACTTACTTTTCAGACACCTGATTCTGGAGGTGTGTGGCAGTCAGGCATGCAGGCCAACGCCGCACCGTCCCTGCTGGAAATGGCCCATTGTTGCCCCAGTGGAAGGTGAGACCACAGCGCCTGAGAACTCTGGAAAAGACAATGAGAATCAAAGAGAATGTTCACACTTCGTGGAAAGTGAGAATTAACAATTTCAATTTTAGGATTTTTTATATTTAAAAAATTAAATATTAATATTTCAACTTTTTAAATGATTTTAAATATTTAACATGCATTTGAAATTGGCTGGTGAATCCTACACCCCTGTCTCCCACTCCCAACACACGACCCCACCCTTTAATTTTTAAATGAATGTCCCATCAGGAGACAGATGAGGATCAATGGGAAAAGTCTCATCTGTGTAGACTTAACAGACGTGAGGGTGGGCTTAGAGCTCCTAGAAGCTAATGTGCCAGGGGAGGGGACTGTGCTTCTCAGCGGGGCTCGAACACTGAACTCTGACTTCTGAGATTCTGGGAGAGAGGTTCTGGGGGTGTGATCTGTGGGGAACCTCAAAGTGAGGGGGCTGTTCATATTTCACACAGTGGAACCAGGTGCACCCCATCTGGACTGGGCATCCCCGAGGTCAGCAGATGTCTGTACATTTTTACCTTTTTAGGTCATTTATCTAATAACTTATAGATAAAATTTAATTTTTACTCAGTTAAATAACATACATAACCTCTAATTTCCACATAGGATAAGGCCCCTAGTTCAATCTAATTCCCATATCTTCCTCTGCTACCTGCTATATTTTGTTGAAATCACTTAAAATGTTAATTTGAAATTCCTTTTGATTTTTGTGTTCTACTTTCTCAGGAATCATAATTCTTAACAACTGCTTTAAGCTTCAGTTCTATATTATTACTTGTAACATGACTGTGTTTTGGTGTTTGCTGATTGATCATAAATAATTTGCATATCTCTCATTGCTCCTTTATTTTTCAATTTTACTAGAAGGCTTGAGTAGTACTTTCAAAATGATTTTGTAGGCAATAAATTTTCTGACTTTGAATGCAAAAGAATAGAATCAATAGCTAAGACAATCTTGAAAAAGAAGGATGAAGTTGGAAGTCTCACATACCTTGATTTCAAAACATACTATGAATCTATGTTAACCAAAGCATGTGGTGTGGGCATAAAGACAGATTTACAGTCCACACAAGGTAGACCAGAAATAAATCCTCAAATATATGGTTAAATCATTTTCCACAAGGGTGCCATGCATAGCTTCACATAAATGGCCAAACGTTTTCCACAAGACCATTCCATGTGGAAAGGACAATCTTTTCAATAAACGGTGCTGGGAAAACTGCACATCCACATGCAAAATAATGAAGTTAGACTCTTACCTAACATTGTATGCAAAAATTAACTAAAAATGGATTGAAGACCTAAATGTAAGAGCTAAACCTATAAAACTCATATAGGGAAAGACTGGGGAAAAGCTTTATGACACTGGATTTGACAATTATTTCTTGGGTACGATGCCACCAAAAAAACAGGGAAAACAGGAACCAAAGGAAAAACAGATAAATTGGATTTCATCGAAATTACAAACTTTTGTGTACCAAAGGACACTATCAAAGTGAAAAGGCAACCAATAGAATGACAGAAAATGTTTAAAAATCATATCTCTGATAAGGGATTAATACCCATCACATATGCAGAACCCCTGTAACTCAACAGGAAGAACCTGAAAAAATGGAAAGATATCCCATGCTCATGGATTAGAAGAATTAATATTGCTAAAATGTCTATATTAACCAAAGCGATTTATAGATTCAATGCGATTCCTCTCAAAATACCAATGATATTCTTCACATAAATAGAAAAAAGGCTGAAATTCATATGAAACCACAGAAGACCTTGGATCTAAAGTGATCCTGAGCAAAAAGAACAAAGCTAAAGGCATCACACTGGTTGTGTTTTCAAATGATACTACCAACCCGCAGTAACCAAAAGAGCATGGCACTCACATAAAAACAGACACATCCACCAATGGAACAGAACAGAGAACCCGCAAATACATCCACACACTTACAGCCAACTCGGTTTCGACAAAGGTGGCAAGAACACACACGGGGGAAAATACAGTCTCTTTAATAAATGGTGCTGAGAAAATCAAATATCCATGTGCAGAAGGATGAAACTAGATCCTCATCTCATCATATATAGAAATCAACTCAAAATGGATTAAAGGCTTAAATGTAAGACCTAAAATTATGGAACTACCAGAAGAAAACATTGGGGAGACACTTCAGGACATTGGTGTGGGTAAAGATCTTTGCATAAGACCTCAAAAAGGCAACAAGAGAACAATGGGTTTATATTAAGCGAAAAAGCTTCAGCACAGGAAGGGAAACAGCTAAGTGAAGAGACAACCTAGAGAAAGGGAGAAAATATCTGCAAGCTTCCACCTGACAAGGGATTAATAACCAGATTATATAAGGAGCTCAAACAACTCCATAGCAAAAAAACAAATAATCTGATTAGAAAATCGGTAAATGACCTGAATAGATGTTTCTCAAAAGAAGACATACAAACAGCCAACAGGCATATGAAAAAATGCTCAATATCACAAATCACCAGGGAAATGCAAATTAAAACCACAATAAGATATCGTCTCACTCTAGTTAGAACTGGCTACTATAAAAAAGACAAAAAAAAAAAAAAAAAATAACAAATGCTGGTAAGGATGTGGAAAAAGGGGAATGGAAATTAGTACTACCATTACAGAAAACAGTACGGATGTTCCTCAAGAAACTAAAAATAGAATCACATATCCATTAATCCTACTGCTGAGTATATTTTAAAAGGAAAGGAAATCAGTATATTGAAGAAATATGTGCACTCCCACGTTTACTGCAGCACTGTCTGCAATAGCTGAAATGTGGACTCAACCTAAGTGTCCATCAATGGATGAATGAATAAAGAAAGTGTGGAATATATACAGGACGGAATATTACTCAACCAGAAAAAGAACGGAATCCTGTCATTTGCAGCATCATGGATGGAACTGGATGTCATGATGTTAAGTGAAATAAGCCAGGCACAGAAAGACAAATATCACATGTTCTTACTCAAATGTGGGAGCAAAAAAAGTGGGTCTCACAGACGTAGAGAGTAGAATAGTGTTTACCAGATGCTGGGAAGGGAAGTGGGGAGGAAGAGAAGTTGGCTAATGGGTACCAACATGCAGTTAGATAGAAGAAATACATTCTTGTATTTGATAACATAGTAGGAAAATTATAGTTAACAATAAACTACTTCCTGTGTCCCTTTCTTTGTTCACATTTTTTCCCTCAGGAATTTTCAAAATTCCTGTTCTCTCCTGGCTCCACTCAAGACCCAGCTCAAATGCCATGTTTGTCATGAAGCTTACCTAAGAACAGCCTTCGACCCAGGGCCCCGTGTCTCCAATGCTGGACTTGGTCCCCTGCCCACCTCTGGGGTGTTCACTCCATGGACGTGCAGTCCCCTGGTGGAAAATGAAGGACATCCCCGACTAACAACCCTCACACACTTGCACTGGGACAGACACTTTTCCTGCCTTTATCACTTAGTGAGTGGCTTTATCTCTTAGTCTTCCTAAAAGCTTCAAGAGATGAGTGAGTTTCTAGGAAATGGGCTTGCACTGGGACAGACACTTTTCCTGCCTTTATCTCTTAGTGAGTGGCTTTATCTCTTAGTCTTCCTAAAAGCTTCAAGAGATGAGTGAGTTTCTAGGAAATGGACTTTAATTCACACAGTGATCACTCGGTCTGTTTCTCAGGAAGGTGCAGGAGAGATGCTCAGGTCAGGCGTTCATCTCTGCCTTAGGCCTGCTGGTAAGCGGTTTTGTTTATGGTTCCCTAATGGAATAAAAACTTACAGCATGTTCTGGCCAAATTTTCAGGAAATTTAAATTCAGAAGAAATCTGTAACAACTTCTGGAAATAAAGAGGAAAGTCTCTTTTTTTTTTCTTTTGTACTGTAAGATACTGTAAGTCCAAACTATGTCCGTAATGAATTATGTAAAGATCTGGAAGGCTGAAGTGCTTCTCAAAATGCCAATACCTCTAGAGGGAAATGCAAGAAAACAGCCATTGGGTAAAATAAGTTCAGATCTGCAACAAAACACAAGGGAGGGGTAAGGCTATCAGCTAAACTAAGGCTGGGATGAATGCTTCCTGCACATTTTAATCCTGGGGAGAACAGTAGTTTCTAAAATAAAACAGGCATTTTAGACCTGCATTCTGGCTCTGAAATGCAGAATGCGGCGGGATTGGATGTGGCGATGCCAGGCAGACACACCCTTCTCAAAGCCCCCAGTGCTGACAGTGGGCCCAGGGAGCGTGCTAACGCTGTGGACATACTGCGTGTCTGGGGGACTCCAGGTGAGCGCAGAGACCCAGGTCCCTAAGGTGCAGGTGAAAGCCCAAAGAGGCTGTTCTAGCTGAATCCCCCTCTCCACCCGGCCCCTTGGTGTCACTGAAGGCCAGCACATGGGAAACCCGCCAGCTGGGCTTCCTGAGGTCTGGGATCACTACCAGCCATGTCTCCCACTTGCCTGTGGTCTAAGAAGCCACCACGGCTGCTTTGTCCTGCGTCACCATGGGACTTGGGCTGTTCCAAAGGTCCTGGTGAAGATGAAAAGGGACCTCTGAAGATGCTCCAGGGACCCGAACGACTCACTGCTCTAAGCTGAAACTACTGTAAAAATACAAGGCACTGAGAGGGGCTCAAGATGAAGGCAGGACTACAGGACCAGAGATGCTTCCAGGACTGACTGCTGGGAAACAGCAGGTACAAAACGAGCAGCGGCTGCCCAGCAGGGTGCCAAGTGACCTTAGTGATCCCAGAGTGGAGCTCAGAGGCCAGGACACTGCCTTCACAGAGCCAGTGGAGGGGGCCCACGCAGCGCGGGTGTGTGAAGGGTCAACAGGCACTGGCATGCCCTCTGGCCTCCCATGGCTGGGGGCCTCCTCCCTCAGGCTACCTGGATCCTGGGCTCTTGCCGCTCTCCTTGCTCCCTACTCCTACCCAGGTTTTCCTGTCTTCTTTCATTCAGCTCTCCCTCTCCCTGTCATAAGACCCCTCCACCCTTC